GCCATAGTGCATTTTTCAAGGTATACCACAGTACACATGTACAGTGTGAACCAATGCCTGCTTCTGTTCACTTCTTTATGAGTATGCCTCCCTCAGTGTCCTCACCTTTGGGGAGAATACACAGCCAGACTAATGTATACAAACCTTAACTACAATGTATACAAGGGTCACTATGAGCTCCTTCCCTCCTTTTGGCCAGTAACAAAGATACCCTGGAGGAGTGCACAGCACTATCTACAAGTCAAGCTGATTAGCCATTTGAATGCTAATTTTGTTCTTTCTTGCTGTCATGTGAGATGGAGGACATGGTGTACTTTTCCTTATCCTGACAGCACACCATATGGTTGTTCTGGAGCTCAAGCTCTAGGAATTTTGTTCTTTTGCTTGTCATAATTATTGTCACACAACTATTGTTCTGGGTGGTTATTTCTCATTTATTTGAGGAAGGAGACCATCCCTAAACCCAGAGATAGATGCCACGGTCTATAATGAATTTGAAATAAAATTCTCAGTTCTGTGACTACTTCTACTGTCAAAAACACAAATGGTTGCTAAGCACAATAAATGCAGTTCAAATGCTCTGACTAGATAAGCAATTCTGAGGAACTAGTAGGGCGTGAAGGCAGATCCCAGATGAAGGTTAGAGATTGTTAGTCATTTGAATATTAGGCAAGTCTAGGGTTGCCTGGGCCCCGTAACTCATTACTGAAATGTTTGGATACAGGGCTCTGGGTGTTATGGATCATTGCTCTGACTAGGTGTGCCATGTCGCATGTTATTACTTTTAATTAAATGAATACCAGAGGTGAATTCTTGTATATTTAGGTGACAGTTGTCTGTGTATATTGTATTTGTTTTTTTTAAGTTTTATGCAAAATGTGGTATCTGCTTTGTAAGGTAAAGGTAAAGGTTCCCCTTGACAATTTTTGTCCAGTCGTGTTCAACTTCAGGGGGTGGTGCTCATCCCCATTTTCAAGCCATAGAGCCAGCGTTTGTCCGAAGACAATCTTCCGTGGTCACATGGCTAATGCGACTTAGACACGGAACGCTGTTACCTTCCCACCGAGGTGGTCCCTATTTATCTACTTGCATTTGCATGCTTTCGAACCGCTAGGTTGGCGGGAGCTGGGACAAGCGACAGGAGCTCACTCCATCACGTGGATTCAGTCTTATGACTGCTTGGTCTTCTGACCCTGCAGCACAGGCTTCTGCAGTTTAGCTCGCAGCGCCACCACGTCTGCTTTGCAGTTACATTAACACCTCAAAGAGGCATACATGGACCTCTTCCTCCTCCTTTTGTCTTCACTAAAACCCCATGAAGTAGGTCAGACTACAGAAAATACCTGACCCAAGATCAGTGAGATTCACAGATCAATGGGATATAGAATCTGGGTCGTCACCTTCCAGATCTCTACTCTAACCACTATACACTCTCGGCAAAAGTTATAGCTATATATGATCTCATTGTGACATGAAAATGTTCTCTCTTTTTGTACTAAAGTTCCTAGTATCCCCTGGTTTGTATGACCACAGCTGCTGTTATGTTGGCTGGGGGATGCTGCGAACTGAAGCTCAAAAAATAATTATGCCAAGCTGAAATGCCTCAATCACAAGCATATGGAATTCTGTTTAATTAGGAAAGCAGTTCACTGAGTCTGATAATTTGCAAGTAACTTGGACTGAAGTGTACTTCTCCTTTCAATACTGCTGAGGTTAGGGGAGCCGGACCCCTGTGTAATTCAAAATCTGTGTATAACTCCCCCCCCTCAAAACATAACCAGAAAGTATAAACAGTTGATTCACACACACACAGAGACAGAAAGAGAGAGAGAGAGAGCGCAGATCTCCCTATCAGAGTCCTCTCCTGTAACGTTGACAATCCTTTCCATACAGTACCCTGTGTAATGAGCCTTAACGGTCCTTATGGCTCCCTAATCTAGAGGCTGAATTAGAGATGATGTGATTGTGGTCAAGCAGACCACTTCAGTGCCTTCAGTGTTGAAAGCATAAGGTTCTGAGTGGCACAGTATTTATTAAATATTTATTTACTGAATATTTATTTATTGGAATATTTATTTATTGAAAAAGAAAATCTCTGTATAACCAAAACCATGCTGTTCAGACCCGTGCAATTCAAGTGAAAAATGTACAGTAATTGCCATATATGCAACCTGCCTTTAATTAAATTTGTCACTTTTCACTTAGAAAGCCATTTTCATTAACAAGCTATATTTTGGAATGAAGAAATACATACATAACTGTGCCTGAAACTCTGTTAATAACTAACATTGAATAAATACATACATGGTAGCTTGGCTTCCCATTTTTCTACCTCTCACGGTTGGTATTTCAAGTCATTTGCATCCTAAGTAGCTTTGTTTATTCAGAGAGATGACACTTCAGCACTGCTAGGGAAGGAGCAGACTTTTGTGCCCCACAACCAAAAGCCAATCTCCTCTGTTACTATAATGACCTAGTGACAGTCAAACTGATGGCAGCTTGGCACTTGTCATCCTTATATTTTTCAGTGGAGTTTGTTTGTTTGAATACACAGACTGGAGCCTACAGCTATGTTACTCAAATATTTGTTTCTCTTTTGCTGTTTTCCTGCAGTAGCAAATCTGGCATGCCAAGAAATATTCTCTGTGTTTATTTGCATTTGATTATTTATAAATCCCCACACTCGCTAATTTGCAAGATCCCATGGTGTCACTAGTCATTGTTGATTCAGTACATTGGTGGTCTGTGCACTAAATATCAGGGTTTTGGATTGTAGCCAGTGCTGTTATTTCATTCATTGCTCAAACAAGCATATGGTTCCATGAATGAAAAGGGAGGGAGGTAATTTAGCAAGAAGAGAGGGGATGACAATGTCCTTCCATGTTGGAGCATGGAGCCTCTGTTGCAGTTAGAGTAAGCCTTAAAATAGGCCTACTCAACTGCAATTTATTATGCTAAAGTAAATTGGAGTTAGAGTAGGCTCATTTCAATCTATGGGACAAATGGAGGAAGTGACTCACCTAATCCCCATGGATTCAATGGGTTTACTCTAATGGGACTATTTTTCACTAAGGATTTTAGCATTGTATGTTACTGTAACTGGTGCATTCTTCAATTAACATTTACTGTATAGTTTTATATTGATATAGAAAAATATTATCATTGCAATACTGCAGTCTTCAAAAGTGACTACCAAGTATATGAACAACAATAAAAAGCAAATATATCCATAAATAAAGGCCCCTTCCTCTTTCTGTGGCTCAGCTCTACTTAACCAACACTATTCACCTGTTCTCACTCCCAGAGCTTGGAAAATACTATTTAAAAAACTTCATCTCCCCAAATCCTCTAATCAACATAGCTAGTAGTCATGCAAATTGGAGGACTCTGGGGTTTGTAGCAAAAAAAGTAACTTTTCTAAGCCTAGTACAGTATCTGGGCTCAATCTCAATCATTATTCCAGGAGTGGTAAAGGTGAGTGGAGCTGTCTGTTCTTCATGCTGTTGTCACTTATTATACACATGAGGAAAGGCATGTAATCAGCTCTGGTACAACAGAGGGTAGTAGCATACCCATGATGCTCCAGGGTTGGCACTGAATCCCTTGGGATTGGCTTGGAGAGTCCTTGCAGAGTCTGGATATGTTGCTTTCTTTGACTAGAACTATCATCTGAAAAAGTAACATTTGCAAGTTCTGGACTTCTAAAAAAGAATAACAAAGCTGCCCTATAATACAAGCAACAGGGGCTGAAATTAGGGGTTTTCATCCCCATTGGACCTTAGTGGGTACAAAGCAATGGGAAGTCCCATTCTGATAGAATAGTTGTGTTTACTGAGGAACAGTCTTGCTGTTGGCAGGCGACCGAGATTGTACTTACAGTTCTTGTGATTTGCCATCTGGTTAAAAAAATCTACTAATGCTGCAAAGAGGAAGCAAACAGCAGTCAAACACCAACAACGTAAATTTAAAATGATAGGTAATTTCTTCAGCAGGGCAGATTTGCAAGTGTTTGCATGTTGTGTATATTCATTAGTGGTTTACAAGGAAATGGTCAGTCTCTTCTATCTTACAAATCATATTGCAGAAGTTTATAAAAACCAAGGATTGGGAATAACTGGGGCTCCTTGTTACCACTGATATAATGAGATTGGCCAGAATTATTCTGGTGCTTTAGGGATGTGTAAGTTAAGTTGTGTCACTTATCACAGTAAATTGCTCCTAACTAATGAGTAGTTGGTTGCACTGCAAACTGTACATCCTATTGCACAGTGGTGTGTGCCCCATAATGCAACCAGCTCTTATTATTTAGCAGCAATTTGTCAGTTATTTATTTATTTATTTATTTATTTATTTATTTATTTATTTATTTATTTATTTATTTATTTATTTATTTATACCCCACCCATCTAGACCAAAGGTCTATGCTGGGCAGCATTACAAATTTAAAAACAGTAAAACCAATAAACATGCAATAAATCCAGGATGGTAAGATGTGAATTTAAGATACTTCTGAAGACACTCAGAGAGGGAGCCAGGCAGATCTCCACGGGCAAGTAATTCCAGAGGTGACGGTCCACTGCCGAGAAGGCCTGTTCCTCATTCTTTCCTTCCGGACCTCCCTCGGCCATCTGCCCTGGCTGGAATGAATGACTCTGGCAGAACTGGGTGGGAGAAGGCGCTCTGCCAGATATTGAGGTCCTAAACCATTGAGAATGAGTTGCACATTTTCATTTACATATTTACCAATTGCCAACAAGATTCTGGGCATTGTCTATGAGGGCCCCATCTATCTGCAGTATGATAATTCATAGACAAATTGTGACAGCAGTGGAAGTGTTAATTAGTGTGAATAAAGGAAAGGGTAAGGGTAAGGCACAATACCTAAGAAAATGGAGGAAGAGATGGTCAACTGGCAATGTGGAAGGACTGACTTAATGTGACCTGTTATCTTAAAAGTTGTGAAAGGTGATGTTTCAAGCTACTGTCTCTTTTTCATCTAGGTTGTGACAATATTTGCAAACATGTCTGTCCTGGGCCAATGTGTTTCAGAAGTAATCCAAGGAAATGGTATGTATTTTAAGAGAGTTTTCTTTGATATAAAGGGCAACCTTTCTGCAGATAATCAATACAAACCCCATGGCCAAAATCTTCTTGAGTAGCTATGCAAATAGTGAAATTTTTGGAGGTGAGTTGCCCCAAATTAATAAATCATTGTAGAAATTATCATCTGCACAATGAGCAATTCAATAGGCAACTTTTAATGTCGACAGTGATTTCTTAACTTGAGGCAATTCACTTCTGAAAGTTACACCATTCATACTATGACAATGACAACATAACTAAGTAAAAGGACTTTGTCACTGTTTTTCTTGTGTTGACAGCAGGAAAGGGATTAACTGGACCAGTTAATTTTTTTTCCAGTTCCAGCAGCAGATGCATATCTTTGTCCCATCCCCAAAAGTCTTGAAGCAAAAAAAGATCCATCTTACCTATGACTTTAATCAAACATCAAAAATTGAATTTAATGCTGTGGTTTATATAAGGAAAGCTTATATAGTTTTGAAAGAAAATATGTCTCTAAGGACTGTTTTAAAACCTCACATAATCCCTGCTTTTGAGTGAAACTACTGGGATTTTAAAATGCAGTCACCTCCATGTGTGTGTGTGTGTGGGGGGGGCAGATTCTCTGCACAAAGACAGAACATGGAAACAGTACATTCCTTTTAGGGATGAATTTGAAAAACAGTAAAGGGTCTGCTTCAGAGAAGCAATAAATATATCTGATTATGCAAGGTGAGAGGACAGACTTGAAATTTCTCCCTGTTTTCATCAGAACTGCCTTCTGCATTGTTAGTTCTATTGTATAGTTCTACCTGAATTTAGAATTTGAAGGTGCTATGCTAAAGACATTTTTGGGACCACAATACTACTTCTAAGTCAAAATGTTGCTCCATTTTTAATTATGTTTTTTGTGCTGAAGATTCTAGCTATACTTTGAGATGGTCATTGATATTATTTCACTCCTTTCTAGGTGTTCAGGTTTTAATGGACATGCTGTTTGAGAAATCATCTTCTGGGAATCCACCAGAAGCAGCTGCTTGCGAACGAGTTCAACAAAAAGCTGCAGTTACACTTGCTCGGCTGAGCCGTGATCCTGATGTGGCGCATGCGGCTATAAAGCTCAACTGTAAGCTTTTTAATGCTTAACACATCGGTATGGTGTAAAATATGCTGTGCTGCTTCTAACTAATCAAAGAAACAATAGCTTTGTGTTCATCAACAGGATTCTGTTTAGCTTAAAGTGGTTTCTGAATAATCTTTTATCGGTTGAACTACATTTGAATGTTAGCCCATTTATTGGTATTGAGAGTTCTTTTCTCCCCCTAATTCACATTGTATTTGAATACTAGTGGTGAAGGCTTCTGGGAGTTTTAGTCCAAGAACATCTAGGGACCCAAGGTTGGGAACCATTCCCCTAAAAGGACTCGGGGCTTAGAGGGAAGAGGAAATTTCTTTAAAACTGAGATTGTCTAATTGACACAGAAGGAGCTTTTAACAACTTCTACAGTTATAATAATAAAAATCTTTGAACTGTAGAGAAGAATGAGACCAATTTAGTACATTCTAGCACAGCTGAGCAAAAAAAAAATAAAATGCTGCAATACTGTTCAAAAATATGATGTCTACAGGTGGATCAATTTGTCCTTGAATCCAAAACCATGGTATAAGCTGAAAGAGGGTGTACCTTTTAAGTATTTTCTATTTCCAAGGCAGAATGCTTAGCTGAAAGAGGGTGTACTTTTTAAGTATTTTCTATTTCCAAGGCAGAACAATTTATACTGGATGTAAGGCATGTGATTTTTTGCAGCATTGTGTATAGGTTTATAAAAGGAAAAATAAGTGATCTTGCCTGACAGTCATTTCCATGGAATGTTCCAATTGTGAGAATCAGGAAGTGAGATCCTGTATATCTCAAAATAAAAGGACTGTTGATAGAGGAGTGTAAGTTAGGGATGTGCCTAACATAATTCAGGGAGTCTCTGGCTTTGAAAACAGAATCATTTGTACTACACTGCTGTGGTTTGCTGTCATTTGGTGTCAGGCACATCATAATTCTTTCTAATGTACAAAGGGTCATTATTTCTTCCCAGCACCACTTTTTATTGCATTAGACATTTTCCCACAAAGTATACTATATTCAATTAGTGCCAATAATTGCAATAATTTCAAAATAGTTCTTTTCTTTTTATGTGTTTATCCATACAGGTATCCCACGACTAATAGAGCTTTGCAGGTCTCCAACTGAAAGAAATAACAGCGATTCTGTTCTGGTTGCATGTCTGGTAAGTGCATCTATTTCCCTTTCCCTGCCCCTTTCCATACTTCACCTATGGTCTGGAGCCAGAGTTTAGTTCTGCTTCAGGAGTGTTCCAAACCAAAGGTCCCTTCAGAAACCTTTGAGTGGCAGAACACAAAAAGGAGGTACACATGGATTTCCCCTCCCTCTACAGTCCCTGTTTCCACCTTCCCATACGGTTTCACAGGCTTCCCCATACTCCTTCAGGGGACATAGGAAATTACAGGGAGAGGGTATACCTTAGTGGTTTAGGTATCTGGCTACAAAGCCAGAGGTTGAAAGTACCTGGCAAGGGCTGGACTCAGTGATCTATATGGTCCCTTCCAGCTCTGCAGTTCTAAGAATAAGGGAAAATGTTGGTGAAGTTTTCAGTCTCCCCTGTTTGGCAACCAGGAAATCTCATCTGGATCAAAATTCCCATTTATAGCCTTTCCATTTATAGGAAACGTCTTGTGAACACAACTCATAGAATTGTAGCCGGATCAATAAGAATAGCTTCATAGTCATTCCTGTCTTGGATTCTGGTTTTGTATTTTTAAATAATTTTTGGGAAAATACAGCTTGTTAAAAATCAATACAAATCCCTCATTCCAAGTGAGACCCCCCCAACATGCATCAATGTACATACAACACTAGATGCTGATTTTCCCAGTTCATTTGTCTGAAGATGTCAGCTGCATATTCCATTCCATATGTAGCTCCCTCACACTGAAGTGCGTGTGTAAGCTTATGCTGGTGGGAAAGCTTTGTCTGTGTCTCAGAAGTCTTGTGCCCTCAGGACACCCTCATGTCATTCATGGTGGCCAGTTTTATTTAAAGAGTTCCACCACAGTGTAGTGTTCTATAACTACTGAAGCAATGTGAGTTCTAAAGATTTCTTAAGGATACATTCCTATAGGTAGGTACCAGACAGTAAGTCCCATTGGACTTTATAGGGATTACATTCAGGCACCTATGTGTAGGATGCAATTGCACGGAGGCCACTGAGTTTTTCTAAAATATATGCCTAAACAGCAAGGAAGAGGTGCTACTTTTATACTTGTTGTGTATGTTTGAAGATGAATTTATTTATTTTTATTTATTTATGTATGTTTGAAGTAGAATTTATTTATTTTTATTTATTTATTGTATTTATACCTCGCCTATCTAGTCATTTTGACCACTCTAGGCGAACAGTGAGACAATGTGACCAGTCAACGAGGTCAGAGTGGCCCTTTTGTTATTTAGTTTTATGAAGCCTGCTAAAATGTTCTTGTTCCACTCAGCTTTTCGGTATAAAGTGGTGCCTTGCATAGCGACGATAATCCGTGCAGCAAAAATCGCTGCAAAGCGATTTCGTCGCTATGCGATATTAAAAGGCCCATAGGAATGCATTGAAACCCCTTCAATGCGTTTCTATGGGCTTCAGACTCACCTTTAAGCGAAAATCCTCCATATGTATCTGGCAAGATTATTTATAGTGGGCACATTTGACACACTGTTTATCGAAAAGCCATCCCAACATCATTATTATGATCTGCGTCTCTTAGATTCCCAATATTTCTATGCAATCTAAATGTTACTGAAAGTCAGGATGTCAAAATTAAAATAAGCTGAAGCTTGCAACTGTGGGACTGTTTTCTTGGAAAGAGTCAGTTGTCTTCTTGAACACCTATTTATAAATTTCTTATTAGATTGCTGCAAACAGTAGCCAGTCTTTTTGTGACTTCCTTTCTTACAATATGATCATTTTCGTAACAGTGACATTATTTTTTAAATCAATATAAGTGCATAATATTTCTTCACACAGTGGAGTTTTGCACTCAAATTTCTGTCTCCAAAAGGTTGGACATGTGATTTATCATTTGTAATACAGTAATGCTTACAGACAGCAATCAAAATGAAAATACTTGTATGGTAAATGCTGTGCAAAGATAATTCCTATATCAGTTGTAAGCCTTAACAGTTTTATGTAGAGAGATGAAGTGGCTTGCCTGAGGTCACATGATAAATCAGCAGAGGACTCAAAAGCAGAAAGACGATTGACCCTCTAAGTGTATCACTGGCACAAGTTCCATAGACAATGTCTGCAAAAGGATTTTAGGGTCTGAGGCAAAGGATGCTTTCAGATTTTAGGGTTCTAGTTAAGATTTTTGTAGGTTTTGGTTTTAAGTAGTTCTTTTAAAGTGGTGTTTCTTTGTCTTGGCTGAATTGACTACGGTTCCTTCAACTGGAACCAGCAGCCTTCCATTCCAAAACTAAGCCAAGAGAGCTGAAGCATAAAATTGTTGTTTTAAACAATGCTGGCATATAATAAATGAGATTGTTATCTTCTAAAGCTTATCAGGAAGCAGTTCCAGGGAGCTGACTTTGAAATGCTCGTACATGCAGGAGATGTTATTTTTAAATTGAATGAATATAGACTCCATTTTTCTCTCCACCATTCCCTGAACACACTGATCTATCTGACTTTGGTTAAGCTGGGTTGGGCCTGGTTACTCCTTGGATGTAAGGCCCTCTTCCTCAAGGACAGCAGGCATCTCCAGTTGGGACTAGGAAGAATCCTGGTGGAAACCACAGAAATCTGCTACCAGTCAACATGGACAGTTCTGTTCCAAGTGGGCCAATGGTCTGCTGTAATGTAAGGCCTTGTTCTTATGTTGCTTGAAATGGGGCATTTGGAGACTAGCGATAAATGGAGCATGGCAAATATTATTAAAACATACAACAGATTCAAACAGAAAAGATTTAAAATACAGTGAACCCTCTACTTATGGAATTAATCCGTATTGGAATGGTGGCTGCAAGTCGAAAAGTCTGTAGGTCGAATCTCCATTGACCTACAATGCATTGAAAACCGATTAATCCCATAACGGGCAGTTTTTATTCTATTTTTGTTCCATTTTGGTTAATTTCTGGTCTGTAGGTCGATTTTCCGGCTGCAAGGCGAATCTAAATTTTGCGACCAGAGAAGTCTGTAACTCGAAAAGTCTGTAAGTCAAGCCGTATGTAGGTCGAGGGTCCATTGTAGAGTATAAATCAAACCAGTGCAAGGAGGCAAAGCAGCCACTCAGTAGAAAGCCCCCTCTGAGCCCAGCTCACAAAGAACTGCCCAAATGAAAAGAGCTTTACCAGAGGACCGAGAAGGAATCTGCCATGGAGATTTTGAGAGACTTCTCCCACCATAGGTCTCACGTATATCGCCTCTGGCTGGTCTTTTGAGATCCCCCCCCCAGCCTACTGGACTCTGGATTTTGGCCTATGGTCTAGCCCTTGATTTATCTTTTATTAAGCTTTAACAACAAATATAAGCAATAAAAAACACAAAACTAAAACAATACATAGCTAAAACAATAAGAAACAATTAGCAGATAGGAATATGGCATGTAATTATAGGTAATCCAATTTCTTTAACTAAAACAAGGTGCACCCCTTCACCTGAACAAATATGAATACTTTTAGTTATTCAATTAATATTTCAAAGTCTCTTAATCCCTCCAAAATTAGAATGTTTCTTGTGAAGGTAAAAATATCCTTTCCTTTTCCTTAATAAAGATCCTATAAAATCTCATATGTCCTTACGAACAGTCTTATTTAACAATCTTTTTTAAAAATCTTAATATTATGCTAGCTTATTTTTAATAGTAGTTATATTAAAATCTCATTATACCATTCAGATATCTTAAAATTATGCTTTACTTTCCATTAATTACTCTTGCTGCTGTTAATAAAATAGAGATTACTTCCTGTTTTCAGCTCTCTGCATTGACATTATCTAAAATAGGTAATAATGCTACTTTAGGCAAGCTTCCATCTTTAATTTTAGTATTACATTCATTTTCTTAAAAACCAGCTTCCAAAATTCCATTAAAATGCTAATTTAAATTTTTTACAGTGATTTTAAAAATGATTACTTAAACTGCTAAATGACAACAAGAGTTGGACTAATGATTGACCTTATTTTAATGTGCTATTTTTGAGAAGTGCAGTAATTTGTAGGTGCTGGCTATTTTTATTAAAATTATTAGATGTTTTTTAAAAAACAAACTGTTGAATTATTGAAAAGTTAATGTAAACTTCTTCTGCTTATTCTGTACCTAGAAAACTCTGGAAAGGGTCATCATAAGTCCGAATTGACCTGGCAGCATGCAATAATTATTATTAACATTTCCTAGCTGGGTAATTTTTTTTAATCCAACACATTAACTCAGCAAAAGAGAACAATTTGGAAAACAATCCCAACAGAAGATGGACTATATGAGCTTGCCCTTGCCTACAGGTTGCTACTGTAATCGTCCCCCACACCCTGCAATTAATTACAGTAAAATAATACTGTTGCTGTGTGCTACATATAATGCATAATGTGTAACTTGGCCATCCGTTTAATATAAATGGTGTAGGTGGGCTTCTCAGTGCATGACTCACTTAAAGGAAGGGTGAATAGCTAGTAGTGCGTAAAGCAGGGGTTTTATTCTAATACTGCATTGTCACATTTTTCCTTGCAGGCAGCATTGCGTCGATTAGCTGTGATGAGTCCTGATGGACTTCAAGAGTCTGACTTCCAGCAGTTGGTAAAGCCCCGGCTTGTGGATTCCTTTTTGCTTTGTACCAACATGGAGGAAAGTTTTGTATAAATAAAGGCCCTTACCACAAAGAAAGCAATTAATACTGTGCAGCTACAGTATTATTTATGATTAATTTATTTTAAATGCTTAACATCGAAAACCCAACACTGTTCACTTCTAATCCCTCTTCTGTATGCCAGGGCAATTGCTGTTACATAGAAAGGGAGGCTTCTCAATACAGCTCCACCAAAATTTGTTAAGGGTTTGAGTTCTGGCCAGAAGAGTATAGCTGGATATGTATTTAGAGAGACGAGCACATAGGAGAGCCAAAAAATTGCCCTAAATCAATAATGTGTAGTGGGTAGAGTCTATAAATTTGCAGACAATTATAATCTTACTGTTTATAATCTGCACTCCTCTTTTAAAGGGAAATAATATGTAAGAATGTCATTTTTAAAATAAAATGATCATCATCCTGAAGAACATAAGAATATGAGAAGCCTGCTGTGTAAAGGGTTCTGTTTCAAAACTTGGAAGATTACCGTATTTTTCACACCATAAGACACACTTTTTTCCCACAAAACAGGGGGGTGGAAAGTATAAAAGTTTCTGTTTCAAAACTTGGAAGATTACTTTAAGGAGGAATGAATTTTTAGCTGCAGACTGAGTTTTCCAGCTGCTTGGGTCAGAAATAAAAGTACTATAACCCACCAATATCATGCCACTTTCTGTCCCCCTCCTTTCACTCACTCCTCTACTTTCTTGCCACTTTTCCTCGACCTACCACCACTTCACCTCCCTTTCGCCCTCTCTAGCCTTGCTCTGCCTTGCCTGCTGCTAACATCACTAACCAGGTACATGCCTGCCTGCTCGGCCTTTCAAAGAAGAGACAGAGATGACCTCCAAGGGTAACCTGTGCACAGGGCTTGGCTCTGTAGAACACTCTCAGCCAGCCTAGCTCTGCAGAGTAAGGCTTTCTGAAGCAACACAGAAGATGATGGCAGGGACTGTCAGTGGTCAGGTGGATTGATGGGGATGCAATTCACCACTTCTTGTGCTCTGCTTTCTGAGTTAACAAGCTCCCCTGACCAATAAATAGACTGGTCCTGAGGAATATGATGACATCATGAAGCCATCCATAACTAGTAGGATGAGATTCTGGGACCCTGAATATCCTACCACTATGTGTGACTTACGAACCATGAAGGGAGGCACGTCATCCCAGAATTTCAAGGTTACCCCACCCACCCCAAGTCACAAGCCATAATTGCCTTTCCACTGCTCAGCCCTGTATGGTTTCACCACCTCAGCCTCTTCTTTTTAAAAGTCATTATCCAAGTTGTGCTTTACATAGTTCAGCATTCTCCTTCACAGACTGGTCAACCTGACTAATAAAGGAGATGAGACTCCTTTTCTTCATACCATTACCATTCCTGTGTTTGTTTTCCCTTCAAAGGGTTCATGACACATGTTTATCCATGTCAGTATACCTCTGGACCTCTGTGGAGAGAAAAGTGGTGGAGAATGAGGTGATGGTGTTAGATAATAGCAGCAGACAAACCACCAGGAGGAAAGGTCAGACCGTCCTTCTGCTTCTTCATTCAAAACTGCCTCCTCCTCAATCTGTCTTTTCATATATTTTTTTTTAAAAAAAGAGAGAGATTCATGAGTAATGCAGGAGTGCTGACAGAATGATGCTGTAAGACTGCAGATAATCACCATGATGTCTCAGTATTCAGATGGAGACAAATTCCTCTCTGATTAACATGTCTTTGAGGAAAGCCTGTGGATCTAGAGTAAAATGTTTACCTTTTCAAAAAGGAAAAAAGAGAAACTAACCGCTTTATGTAATTACAGTGTTAAGTAATTTATCAAGATATGTTAATGTTAACAATTAAAAGAGAGTGGAAAAAAGTATCTTAGGTAAAATATGGAGTCAGACCAGTTTTTAAAATAACAAAATGTAATAGTGAAAATATAGTTAATGTATATCCGTAAAAAGGTTAGCACATGCAACCTTTGTTGTAAATAGTCAAGTATCTGCAGTGATGACCAGATGATGGTGAAAATTATTGGCATTAAGGAGAACACATCAATTCCCTCTGATGTCTCTTAAGGCCCCACTGATTTCCATGGACCAGTGGGTCTACTTCAGTTAAGAGTCCAAGAGGGACCCCTTGGACCCAATGAACTGAACGCCATTGAGATCAGTGGGATTTAAGAATCTAAAACTGAGAGCACTAATGCAGGCTAAGTGTGCAGAAGGGTCGGTGGCCAAGTGCCAACCACCTGGCTCTGTTCTTGTTGTCTGAGCAGCATGCTTGCCAGAAACATTCTCATATCAGTGATTTCCTGTCAGGTTATTGGAAACATTTAAACTATATATTTAATCATTGGCAAATCTGGCCTGAACTGCAAGCAAGATAGAGAGGATTCTTTTGCACACTATGCGATATTGGCATATTAATAAAGTTGTGAACGGTAAAATCACATTTAATAGGAAGTAGTTGGAGCTGTTAAATCATTGCTGTCAAAGCACTTATTTGTGTCACCAATGTTAATATTTATATTTGGTTTTGTCTCCAATATTATTAAAGCTTATTTGCATTTAAAGTCCCCAGAAAGTAAAATTCCTTTAGCTTTGTCTACTGTTCATCAATCCATGCTTCAGTTTTGTTTTCTGGCCCAATATGCAACACACAGTTGTGATGTATTTTCTTACGTTATGTCCATCAAGTCTGAAACGACTTACAGCAACCCTAAAGGTAAGTGAGTTACTGTATTTAAAGAATGGCTTTAGCAGTTCCACACCCCCAGTGACCATCCATTGCCAAGTTGAGATTCAAACCCTGCTTTCGGGAACCTTAGTCCATCGCTCTGTCCACTACACCACCCTGGGTCTCCCTCGTAGTGACAAACATCTTTGCATATTTTATTGTTGTAGGTGAGAACAAAAGGTTTCAAAGGTATTTTCCATTGTTGGTGAGCCTATAAGAGTTTCGGGTTCTTTTTCTACTTTGGGCACTTTTTATAAAAATGCAGAAGTTATTTGTGGAAGAAATAAACATTTTATGCAGAAAAGACTGTATTTTGTGCAAAATACAATTTAAAAACCCTGAAAACACATTTTGTGCAGAGAAGATAGGCATTTCGCTGTGTATATGAGTTTTGGTATGCATACGCTAACGGTGATTTAAAAAAAAGTGTTGACATTTTTACTGTCATAATAATATTAACTGTGTGTCGTCAAGGCAGCTTTGACTTATAGTGACCCTTTTCAGGGTTTTACAGGTAGAGAATACTCAGTGGTTTACTATTCCCTTCATCTGGGCGCACCCTGGGATTGTGGAGCTTGGCCATGACTACACTGTACTCATAGGAGGCATAGTGTGGAATTGAACTCCCGATAATGCCTAAACCACTGGGCTGTCTGGCAGGAATTGACTTGATGGCATGAAATTATTATTATTTTGCTGTCTTGCAGGACTGAAAAACCTTAGAACAGCTGCCCATTTTTAAAGCAATGTGTTTCAATTTGTTACATCTTTAGCTCATATAAGAAATGCATTGAGAGGTAGTGCCACAATGCACATAAATGTCCTTGCAACACATGGAAATGTGGAATGATTTGTCTGAATTGACTAAACGTACCACTGCTAAGGTGCTGCCCCTCAAAATGTGGCAGAAACTGCCCCTACAGCCCCTAGAAGGCACACAAAGGGACTTTTCCAGCACTTTTTCCATTTAAAAATATTTGGGGGGCTGGGGGACTATCAAAATGGCTGTGGGGAACCATATGCCATCCATAAGCCACCTGTTGTCACTCTGATTAAGAACGAAGGGGAAAAAACCGTGAAAAGTAAAAGGGGTAAAAGAGAGAAAGAAGTCCTATGGGGAAGGGATATGGTTATGATTTATGTCTGGGATAGTATATATTATTATATAATTTGTGTTTAATTTGTTGTACACTGCACAGAGTAGCAATTTGCTAGACAGACAGTGTATAAATTGAATAAATGAATAATCTGAGGAAGTCCATGAAGCCAGACTGAGAAGAGGAGAGTTGACTTTGGCTGCAGGGCCTAGCGTTCCCAATCCCTGTTTTAGGGTGAAGTTCAAGCATGCAAAGGGTCAGGGGACCCATGTGGAATTGTGTCTATAAAGCCTTGGGGCACCCAGGTTATGGAGATCTGGTACAATGTCTCAGGCTCACAAAGTGATCTGCTCGCCATGTTAAAATGCCCCCTCCATATGGATAATTTCTGAATATGTTGTAACAGAAAGTATTTGCTGTGAAAGGACAATGTGCCACTCACAGGAAATTCTATTAGACAATGCAAGAACAAGAAACTGATCACACACAGATCAGAAATAATAAAATTAATGACTACAGGTGGAAAACATGTTCTGAAATAAAAGGGTTTTGAATTGCATTGACTTAGAAAAACATCATAGTCAAGTATATCAGAGACCACTGAGATGATCAGAATTGAAGTTAATGACTTATTTTCTCAGACAGGGTCTTTTTCATTAAAAATTAGGCAAACTTGAAAGAATTGTACCACAATACTGATTTCTCCTATAGTTATATAAAATCTGGCATGAAATGCAAGTGAAGAGGCTGCGGTAAACCAGAGTTCTTGCTTTCTCCTGCATCATAATATCTCCATATATTTTATATCTATACCTAGAGATTTAATGCAACCATTTCCCTTTAATTTTGTTGCTTTCCAAATATGCCCAGTATTATTTTTTAACAGTGACATCTATAAATCGTTGCTTTTACAAAAATACAAATATAGTATTTTAAAAATACAAAATACAAATACAGTATTTTAAAAATACAAACACAGCATTTTTACACATTGCCCTTCCTCCATACCATAAGCATTCATTGCAATTAAGGTTATGGAAACTCAAATGTGCAATGACTTGTAACAACCCTTACAGTGGTTTTCAAGGAAAACGAGATATTTAAGGAATTCCACACCACTACCATGAGTTTCCATGGCCAAGTGAAGATTTAAACACAGGTCTCCTGAATCCTAGTCCATTACTCTATGCGGTACACTACACTGGGTATCCTGTAACAAAGGATGGGGAGAATAATGGAGAGGAAATTAATTAACAAGGATAAAGTTCAGATGTAATTTCTGAGTGATTGCTTACAAAAGGTTTAAACCATGCTTTGGCACCTTTATGCTGGAGAGAAGGGGGAAAATCAGTCCTGGTGAGCTTAGATCTGCAAAAAACTCTTACTGCTGCTTCCTCCGTTGAGTGCAAAAACAACACCCTCAAAGGGGATGTCCTATGATCAGAGGGAAAGTGGGAATGAGACAGGCTATTTTCCCAGCTGAGTTTTCATTTGATCCATCAATCATTTCTTTTATTGATTTATCATTTATTTCTTAACTCATGTCAAAAGATCTCACTGAAGGGAGCAGACAGTAAATCAGCATTAAACCATTTATAAGAAGTGAAAGTAGTTTAAAATTATTGGAAATGAATTAGACTGACCCAAAGCAAAATGAAGCTGTACAATGAATTTAAATCAGTGTACACAATGTTCAATTTATCAGAAATCCACAAGTCA